ATTGTGTTATTATAACACCAATATAACACCAAGAATATTCTCGGGACACAATAACACATGAATAACACACAATAACACATGAATAACACGGGAAATATTCCCGATAGAGAAAAAAGCTGCGCAATAACACGGGGAAATATTCTCCCCCGTGTTATTCATGTGTTATTGTGTTGTGTTATTGTGTGTTATTCATTCAGAACACAATAACACCTAAATAACATACGATAACACATTTATTGTGTTATTATAACACATATTATTGATGTGTTATTGTGTTATTATAACACCAGGAATATTCTCAAGACACAATAACACATGAATAACACACAATAACACATGAATAATATGGGGGGTATTCCCCGTGTTACTGCGCCGTTTTTTTTTTTCTCTGTCACGTGGGATGTCGTGTTGTGATTTCATTGGCTACGCACGTTACTCTACATGCGTAGTACTGATGTAATATTTTTTTCATTTGCACATGAATGCTAGTCAAAACTTTATATCCTTTCAAAGGAATGTTAGTTTGGCTCTAAAAAAACATGTGCAAATGTAAGCAAAGTACAACCAAATGCATAAATGCAAAAAGAAGCCTATAAAAAAATAAAATTACCTAAAGCAATGCCAAGTATAAAATAGCTTCTATATAACTCTTTTAGTAACTCCAATAAATAAACGCATTATTACAACAGGTATAACTGATTTTGATCAGCTCATAACTGCAAAAAAAAACTGACCTAGAGAAATATATACCTTCAATAAACCTAGAAGAACTGAAACACGGGTGGCATCTGAGGCTGCAGAGAACCCTGCACTCTGTCCACATTAAATAAAATGGCCGAATCACAAACACCATTAAATCAGCTCAAAATCCATCTCGAACTTGAAAAACCAAGAATACCTGGAGGATTTTTGCAGCATAATATAAAACGCTTGGTTGCCCTGTGACCTAACATTAGGGAAAAAACAATGGGTTTAGACTAAATGGCTTCACTTCACTGACTGACTGGAAGACATCAGAACAGGGATAAACTGAGATCTTAATCAAAGCAGTAAAACATTGCAAGCACCTGCTGAAAAAAGAGCAATCCAACACCAATAAAAAGGGCTTTCAAACACTTTCCTCGAAAGATCTCCCAAAATGTTGTTTGCCTTTGTTGACCATCATGAGAAATCTCATGCAAAATGGCATCAATTTCATCCGAAGCTTTGTCATCGATAGATTGACCTCTTAGCCGGCACAAACAAGAAATAGCAGTTGTTCTTACACTTGAAATGTTTCCTTTTCCCTGTATGACACACAATAGCAGCCAACGAGGAGATGGTGGCAACCACCACATTCCAAAACACATAATAAGGCCAACAGGGACACTAGTACCATACATATAACGCCATCCCGCAACAATATCAACATAGAGACTACTGGATATGTAGCCAAACTGCATTGATGGCAAGAACTATGAGCTTTCATAAACAGAAAAATCCAATATTCACTGTCTTGGGATTCAAAACTTACAAGCATTCCTATAACTATGAAGAACTCCTTCAAGGAAATCAATGTGCCACGAATCTGGCTAGGGGCTGTCTCCGCAATGTACATTGGAGCAGCATGCATGGCCTAACAATCAAAGACCATAAATAAGTTGCATACACGAGGAAATATCAAAGGCAATGCCTGATCATACTAATAAAAATATTTGCAAAATATGCATCAATTTCACATTCACACAATAGAAAATAATTTTTCTTTAAAATCAATAGGAATCAGTGGATTAAGCTACAAGAGTTTCCATATGAACATTCAACGGATAATCGATGGACTGAATTATTCAAATTAGCTCCGATGGATAAAAGAGTATACCACTTCAAAAGAAGTATACACCGCCAAAACATTTAGAGATTTTTATAGGATTATATAAATAAGATTCCAAATAAACTAGGGAAAAAACTGAGGATAATGGCATGACCACGCAAGTAAGTGCTGATTTCCCACTTACAAGCAAAACATGCATATTTTAAGGGGCGCATCGGTATTCATCTCTTTCAAGGGCTACCGATCCAGAGAGGATGGCCAGAAAACCAATCCCTAAGGTAAGCCTAGAGTTGGATAATAGAATTTTTAAAGAAAATGGGACTCGAAGCCAGAAGTTCAGGTGGGAGATGGCTTGCCTAGCTGTGCTGTTTGGCTGAGATGAGGATGAGAAATCAAGCATACGATAAGAAGTCATGAGCGGTAATTTTGCAAACCTCAATATGAAGATATGGGCACTCATAGATAAATATTTAGGGGTATTTACATATATACCACACAATTCTTATTTCTTTACATATCTAACACCTAAAACTTCAGAATAATGCAGAATTAAGCAGAATTAAAGGAGGATTTTTTCATTGATATGGAGAGTATAAAACATGAATCCTAGAATATGAAAATAATAAAAAGGAAATAATATGAAAGTAAATATATATAATCTAATATCTCCAATGATCAATTCATATTAATTATTTGGAAATAAAGAAAATAACAAAAAATAGGAAAGCCTAAAATAGGAAACAAAATAACTCATAATCCAAGGAAATAAATGTAAAATAGGAAATGAAATAACTCCTAATCTCAGGAAATGACTTATTCTTCATAACTTCTCACGGGAATAAACTATTTCCTAATATAACTTCTAACACTCCCCCGCATATTAAAACATGGTTGAAAACCATGTTCAACTTGGATTTGAAAACATCAAACAATGGGTGAGAGAGAATCTGTGATGTTGAATTTAAAGTCTTAATCTTGTACTCCTATTGACTTTGACTACAGTTCCTACAGTGTCAGTAGGTAGGTAGAAGGCTCCCACAAATAATGTTGCAGTAGACAACTGCAATTTTCTTTGACTGTAGTTCCTACAGTGTCTGTCGGTAGATAGAAGCTCCTGTAGATAACATTGCAGGAGAGTTGGCAGGAAAGTAGACAACCTGTAGGAAAAGGCTGACTTCTAATTGACTGCAGTTGCTTTTAACTGCAGCTCTTGTAGTGTCTGTAGGTAGGTGGAATGCTCCTACAGCTAATGCTGCAAGGAAATTTGCAGAGAAGTAGATAACCTTCAGAAAAAAGCAGCAGGAAAATATTCCGAAGAAGGCCCTGCGGATCTTCCTCGATAAGGCTAGCATCAGCTGGGATGCAGAGTTGTGGTAAGAGAGGATTGTTGTTGTAAGGTTGCAGGAAATCAAGTCGGACTGCATGAAATCAGGAAAGTCGGGCTGTCGGAAATCTGGACAACTGCAAGAAATCTGGGAAGTCGAACTGCTGAAAACCAGGAAGTCGAACTGTTGCAGGGAACATGCGCCAAAAAACAACGGGACCAACCTCCGCGAAAAAAAAACTACACCTCAAGCAGTAGAGACCTGCAGAAAATAAGGGAAGTCGGACAGCTGAAAACCAGGAAGTCGGACTGTTGCTGAGAAAAGCTCCGAAGGAGTATCTACTATCGAAAAAGCCCAAGAGAAGGGCCTACTAAGAGAAAGAACAGCGGGAAAGTCATGGGGCTGGGAGCGACAGTAAAAAGTCATCGACACCTAACTCATCAGAGAATGGTCGTCGATGAGAGGGAGAGTCAACCGACAGAGGTCCGGCAAAAATCTTGCCTGGAGAGGCCACCCGTGTGAGGGCGGCAGAGTCGAAGCTCATGGCTTGGGAAGGGCCAGTTGATAGGCCAAGCCTACGGGTAGATAAGAAGAAAAAAAAAATCGTTGTTTCCAATACCAAGATGATTGCCCCCTCTCTTCTCGCACGGAGGATGACAGGGAGTCCGGTAGAATTGGCAGGAGGACCGGTGGCTAAGGTACAAAATTAGGCTCTTATACAATGTTGAAATTGAGAATGATTTGGAATTAAGCGGAATTAAACAAGGATTTTTCATTAATATAAAGGAGGGTATAAATAATCCTCTATATGAATCCTATAATAAGAAAGATAATAAAAAGTAAATAATATAAAAGGAAAGATATATCACCCAATATTTTCAATAATCAATTCATATTAATTATTTGGAGATAAATGAAATAACATAAAATAGTAAATCCTAAAATAGGAAAGGAAATAACTCTTAATACAAGAAAATAAATATAAAATATAAAATGAAATAACTCCTAATCTCAAGAAATAATTTATTCCTCATAACTTCTTACAGGAATAAATTATTTCTGAATATAACTTCTAAAAACTTCCCTACATAACACTCTTTAAGGTCATATTAAAAATATCGTTATTACCTACCTTTCAAAAGTGAGATATAAGCTTATGACACCCGTGTTATAAACGTAAATATCAAAATTTACAAGTTTGATATGTAAATACAAAAGAATTGTGTGGTATGTACTTAAATTTCCTAAATATTTAATGTGTCCCTGGACCCTTGGGATTCACTGTTATTGTTATCTCATGATTTTCTCAAAATAACGTTGGGGCTTTTGAGCTGTCAACTCAGTCAATCGTTTAACATGAAAGATTTTAGTTGGCCAAACCATAATGTAAGCAATGAACCCACAGAATTTAAATCCAAATAACTGAGAATAAACCGAATACCTTCCTGGCCAAACTATCTCACTGTACTGGTAATTATGTGACTTGAATCAGTCTTGGCTCCACTAAGGTTGTATATGATCCAAGCTCGAGTTGCTGACTTAAGATTGGCTCAAAATTGTTTAGTTCAAATTTGATTCAAGTGAAACCTAGCTATAGGCTAGCTCATCAAATCTCAATATGAACAAGGCTATGCGTGATAATTTTACTCCAGTATTGATCTGAGCAAAAGGGGATGCAAAAGAATATGTCAAATATAGAGGAATTAAGTTGATGTGTCATACTTTAAAATTATGGGAGAGGGTAATTGAACATAGATTAAGATGTATTACCAAGATTTAATCAATTTGGATTTATGTCGGGCAGGTATACTATGGAAGCTATACATTTATTGATAGGTTTGATGGAGAAGTTCAGAGATAATAAGGAGGACCTACATACAATTTTTATTGATATAGAAAAAACTTACGATAAGTTTCCAAGAGATATCCTTTGGAGACTTTGGAGAGTTCTTGAGAAGAAAGAGTTCTTGAGAAGAAAAGTGTTGATATTACTTATATTCAAGTCATTAAAGATATGCATACAAGAACTGTTATGTGTATTCGAACAAAAGGATTGACAAAATATTTTCCTATTTCTATTGGTTTACATCAGGGAACAGCTTTAAGCTCATATCTTTTTGCTCTAGTTATGGATAATCATATTGGACGCTTACAGGACGATGTACCTTGGTGTATGTTTTTTGCTGATGACATCCTTCTCGTGGATAAAACGAGAGAAAGCTCAGGAATATCTTGAATTATGGAGGTCTACCTTGGAGTCTAAAGGCCTTCGTTTGAGTAGAACTAAAACTAAATACATAGAATGTAATTTTAGTAGTAGCAGCTCTAGTGATAGAAATGTAACTATAGGTGATCAAATTATTAAAAGGTGTGAATGCTCTAGATATCTCGGGTCTATTGTTCAAAGTGATTGTGATATTGATGAGGATTTTATTGGTAGTATTCAAGTTGGTTGGTTGAAGTGGAGGAATGCTTCAGGCCTATTGTGTGATAGAAAAGTATCACTTAGACTGAAAGGAAAATTTTATACGATGGTAGTGAGACCCGCAATGCTCTATGGCGTTGAATGTTGGCATTTAAAAGAGAAGCATAAAACTTAGTGTTGTCGAGATGAGAATGATTAGGTGGATGAGTGGCTTTGCACTTAGAGACAAAATGCGAAATGAATATATCCATGATAGGGTGGGTGTAGCTCTGGTGACTGACAAAATTAGAGAGAGTCGTCTTAGATGGTTTGATCACATTAAACATCGACCATATGATAATCCGATTAGAAGAGTAGATGTTGTAGATTCAACTTATGTTAAGAAAGGCAGAGGTAGACCTATGATGACTTTGCTTATTGTATAAAAAATGATCTTAATTTATTAGAATTAATTTAATTTATTAGAATTAAATGAAAATATGACATTAAATAGGACGCAATGGAGAAAAAGGATTCATGTAACCGACCCCACTTAGTGGGATAAAGGTTTTGTTATTGTGGTGTTGTTGTATTGATCTAAGCTAAACATAAGCGCAATTTAATACAAAGAGGCATATATTCCTGCAAGCATTCATGCACCCATTCATCATAGAAACATGCATATAAAGATGCATGCATGCATCTATCCATATAGGCATAAATATAGATAAAAGTTATTCAAAAAGATTTGCAAAAAATAGATGTAAACACCTCAAGCAAGATGTAGTAAGAGGATAATGCTGTTGAAAATGGTGACCATATCGAAACATGTCAAATATATGAGTTCTTTCCCACAAGTGGAGCATGATAGAGGAAGATTCCGAATAACGCAACTAGGGCTGTCAATTTGGCTCGTTGTTCATGAACAGCGCGTGTTCGGCTCGTTAAGCAGCTCATGTTCGGCTCGAAATGGCTCGAAAAAAAAATTATATAACTTTTTATATAACAATATATTACATATATTATTTATATAATAATATATTATATATTTATGTCTAAATTTAAATCATAACACCTCATGTGGCAATGTGGTTAGTGTCTTTTTTTGTATAGATTTGATTCAGGTTCGAATTTCACTCTTTACATCTATTTTTCTCAATTTTAGTTTAATGAGACAATTTCGAGCCGAACACGAATATTTAAATCGAGTCGAACACAAACACACCGTTCACAAGCCGATTTCGAACACGAGCCGATTTCGAACACGAGCTATTTCGAACGAGTCGAACACGAGCCAAGCCTGAGCTCGCTCAAGCTCGGCTCGTTTACAGCCCTAAAAGCAACTGATGTTCAAGCGCCATAAGCAACAAAACTTTAGGTTGTAAGGAAACTTTACCAAATAGGGTCCTCTACAAAAATACCACTTATTTCATGGGTATTTACAAATCTAACACCTAAACTTTACTTTTTACATCAACACCACCCAAATCTTTCATATTATATAAAAAATACCACTATTTTAACTTTTAAAAAATGAAAACGTCTTTTTATGCAAAGGAAAGGTGACATATATATGTAAAACTTAAGCTCAGGGGTTATATATGTAAATACATAATAATTGAGTGCTATTATAAGTAAATCTTCCTAAAAAACAATAGACTGAGAAAAAAAACATCGCTACTTAATAATAAATTTACCGTGATTTATACGAAAAGTCAACTTTAAAATGACAATTAGGTTAATAAAAAAAATGTGAATGTCTTGCTCCAGTTAAGTACCTGATCAATACTAGTCATTGGGGCACTCTTCTTCACCATTCACATTGTAATCTATTACTTATGTTCAATATGCTATAGAAAAACAGAAAAAAAAAATGTGAACTACTACGTGAAATTGACAAGAAGAGCTAGCTATGACTGCATTAAATATGCTTCTTTCAGCAATGCTCATCAGATCATTCTTCCGCTCTTTTGTGAAATTAGCTTGAGGGTCAGTTCAGAATGTTAGTTGTTTATTGGACATCTTTCAGCGGTGCATTTTGCTTAAGCTTACACAGTAACCTATATTCAGTGGTACATTAAATATGCTTCTTTCAGCAATGCTCATTAGATCTTCTTACGCTCTTTTGTGAAATTAACTTGAGGGAGTTCAGAATGTTGGTTGTTTATTGAACATCTTTCAGAATGTTGGTACATTTTGCTTAAGCTTGCCCTTATTTCATTTCCTATACAATACACAAGAAGGCCAAAGATGGATCTAGTCACCTTTTTCCAATTTTACTTTTCAAAGAAAAGGATATTATCAAAATCCTTAAAATGTAGAAATACAAAGACCGAAGTTCCAATGACAAAGTAAAATGAACTGGACAAAGTAGGCAGCCATGGAATGCTTTAAATCAAGTATGTAGAGATTGTAGCATAAGGGCCACTCACACAAATAAAAAATAAACTTCAACAAAATGCTTAATGTATCATAAAGTAAACCATCAAGACCAGTCATTACCAGTCCAATTCCAATACCATATAACAGGCGACCAATCACCATAACAGGAAAGTTGGGAGCCAGTGAAGTTAATAATGATCCAACGAGATATGCTAGAGAGGAAAACATTAGCTCCCGTCGTCTCCCTTCATTGATAAAAACAGTTAAGCATTATAAAATAAAGTATTAAATGCATTAAAATGTTAATTCGGACTAACCTAAATAATCAGCAACAGCAAATGCCAAAGAAGAACCAACTAATGCCCCATATAAAGAGCCACTGACCTGCAAAATGCAGAAACAGAAGGAAGAGATTATGTGCAAAACATCCAACGGTAAAATTGGGTTGCTGGAGTAATGCTATTTCAACTCACCACCAATCCAATTTCCAGAGAGTTCAAATTGTACCATGTTGTTCCGCTCAAGTTAGCAGACTACAAAAAAATAGATATATACTAGGAACATGAGGCATGTCAAAAGTAAGCAAGAAATTTGACAAATTTATAGATCAACAAAGGTCAAAGTTCACGGAAGATAAGAAGCAACTTATACTTCAGTTGATTTTATTGCTTTAACAATGATATACCACTATTCAGATTGAGTCATAAACTAAATTGATATTAGAGAATTTTACTACCCTTCAAATTATCCAGTTCAAAGACTCTTGGTTTTGTTATAACATATTTGACATTTGCCTACTTACATGCTGTTTAAAATGAAATGAAAACCTTGAAGTCTTATATATAAGAGCGGAATTTAGAAGACAAATAATCACAAAAGGGAGAAATACTACTAACTTATCAGAGGTTTGAAAGAACTGAAAGAGAAGAAACGGAAAGTAAATGGACGGGTAAAAGGTATTGTAATTGAAACCAAATTATTTTTCATTCAAATGTTTAGTTGAGTAGAAAATGAGGGAATTTTTTCTTTTGTTTAGTTGATGAAAAATTGTGTTATTGTTTCATATAACAAGGGAATACGTGAGTTAATCTGATAAGTTAATAAACTTCTCCTCTTTTTTAACCAGGGTTAAGCAGGGAATTGTCAATAAAAAATACATAAATTAGCAATTTCAAGGAAAATCCAATTACCTAATAATTGCATTAGAAACCAACATCCAAAATAAACTTATAAGGTAAAATTCATTTACATTCCCTCCATTTCCTTCGAACCAAACATGCTCTTATTGAATGCAAAATGGAATTTACTTGCAGCTTTTTAAATTACACTTTGTTTGCTCCCCATGTACTTCTTCATGAACAAGCATAGTCATGCTCTTTAGGAAACTTAAACTAAAGCTCTTTATGTATTGCATAGTAATAAACTGAGCACGGTTGAAAGGGTAATCATTCCATTTTAGGTCATAAACTTGAAGCATGTCAAGACCATTTTACCCAAGAAAAAAGCACCTATATTTTAAACAATATATCCACATTATATGGAGGATAAAATTTGATCCAACAACATTTTCTAGCCATCTCTTCATTAGTCTTCCAACATACTCTATCTTGAGTTCAATAGATCAATACGTGAATCAAGTACATAACCAAAACATACATTTCCCCACAAATCTTCAGTAAGTGTTGTACATATTATCTAAAATAATCGTTCAAACTCTATCATTCCTAGTTTTCTATACATCCACCTTAAGATTTATACTTCTATCTCACTCAACTTCTGAATCAAAAGAAATTTTGCAGACATAAACCTGCATCAAAATAGCATATCCCACTTTACTAATAAATTTATAAACCTACTTTTTTAGGTATCAACTGTATTATCCTAACATATAATAACCCTAAAGCATATATTCATTGTAATTAACCAGCTTTAAGCAAAGAAGTAGGTCCTCAACGAATATTTCAATTCTAATGCATAATATATTCAAAAAATCAAAAAAACTACCATACATTTGGCTTCATTTTCCAGTAATATAAACTAATAATTATAAAAAAATGCAAAAAAGAAATGTTTGGAACAAGCAACTCAATATTTTTGGTTTATAGGAATTTATCAAACACCAGTTGATGCTGAGGTCAATGAGTAGTTATTTATTTTAGAGCTATTAAGCAAGCGATTGTAAGTATAAGAAAAAAAAGTAAAATAACCTCTGAAAAACTATATGGAGTCATTTTAATCCTAAATTGTAAATATGTCAATTTAGTTCCTTAACTCCTTATATATTGAACTAGTTCTTTCAAGCTTATGTTAAAAAATTGTTCAACAATCAAAGTGTTGATTTCTCCTGGACATCCTGACACTGACTTCTAGCATGACCAAAGCCAGTTTCACTGGTGCCTCTCTCACAGCTTGTAGAAATGTGTCATGGGCCACTTAAGTTCCTATCTGTCACAACCCAACTCGATAACAAAAACGAGAACGGACAATCGGATGGTGGAAAAACTTCTTTGCTATTCTATTTATATCACTAGCATATTAATATTCAAATATTCTTGAAAAAGACACTAAAGAAAATAACCCAAATAAACTAAATCAAAGGTTATCTTTCAGGTTGCCACCCCCGTCTTCTATAAACATTATATCCTTCAATATTAATCTTAATCAAAAAGATTAAACCTAAAAAATATATATATTTAAAATAACATAATAAATTAACAAAATATAACTCAGGAACAATCACACTTCTAAAATACAGTAACACATGGGGAAAAACAATATGCATGTTGGTCTTTCATATTTTTAAAATGAAATCTTGTAACAATAATCCAATATATGTATCAATGACATTTACTCAATGAATAAAATAAACTTCTACATGCATTAACTTTAATTTTACTTTTATTTTATACTCTTAACATACACACATGTCCATCTTAGGAGCACTGTCACAACATAAATTAACACACTCTTGGTCAATATTCTTTCATTGGCACGGCGGTTAGCTATTTAACTATCACAATTGTCAAAGATGGAAAGATTTTTACTCACCCCTAGCTGATATTCTCCCGTCGGCACCGCAATTAATGATCTAAACATCATAATTGCTTGGATTAAGTTGTCTACTCGCCTTTGGCCGATATTCACTCGTCGGCACGGCAGTTAATAATCTAAACATCAGAATTGTTTGGGGTGGTACGAAAATATCTGTGTGTAGGTACATTTGCATCCCATGCCTGTACCATTAGAGGGAGAACTCCATTTAACATGCACATACAAGGATTCATATATAAGTTTATTTTATTTTTCATAACATGTATTCTTCCTTATGAGATATTTTCATTCATCTACTAATAAATAAATTTATTTTATTATAATCAAAATGAATTACAATAATATAATAATTTCATAGATAAACTATCACACATCCGCTTTATATAGGATTCTTTACATGCATACTTCTAAAGGTCATGTACCAATATGCAACTAATTATGTAGTTGTGTTAACATTCATATTTGCTCTAATGTGCAACTATTTATGATACATATCTTTCCTATCATATATATTTTTAATGTCTAACAATATGAATAATTTATTATTATTTAAATCTAACTGAATTAAAGCATACATGAAATTAAACATAAATTTTGAGATAAAAAATTACTGAAATTTAAAAATATAATCACTCACCTAAATCTTTAGTATATCTCTTTATTAGCTTGATCATCCACTTCACTGAATCGTCAAACTTTTATCAATCTCAATTTTAAATAGACTTCTTCCACAATACCTAATTGAATTAAGTTCTAATAATGTTAATTAAACTAATTATTTCATTAATTATAATAATAATATAAGCTTTAATATTTACTTTATAGGCTTTTAGATTGATCTCCTCCCTTACTCGCACACAATGTTTTCTTGCTAACCTTCCTAACTTCAACTTAACATAATTTCATATTGATATATTAAATATATATCAATTTAATGTATATAGAATTCCAATAAACAATTCTAACACAAAAAATTACCTTAACTCGCAACTTAGAGTTTCAATAGGCTTCGACTCTCCACTTCACGCCCAAGATTATTCATCTTCCCTCGTACAGAAAGTTCACGTCGCCTTACCCCTACAAATTAAAGATTTTAATATTTTTTATCTCGATTCAATTAAACTTCCTATTAACATTATTTAAACATACACTCTCTACCCCTTTTTTAACCCTCAGTCGTCTGCCCTAAAATGCATGCACAAGCTCCTTCGCTGCCTCTTCAATCTTCAGTCATGGCTCAACCCAACACCGCAAGCACTTGACACTGCTTCCTCCTTCATTCGGCGTTCATAACCCAAGCAAGCAACCGCACAAAAAAAAAAAAGAAAACCCCTTTTAGATATCGGCTTGACCCAATACCATACACAGGAGGTCGTCCCACGAGACGAAATAGCCACACGATGCTTCCTACTTCGTCTACACACAAATCGTCTTCCTTTCCCTAAAGGCACTTCAATACACTCAGGTTACGGGGCCTCCTTATCCTCCTCCTTGCTCTGCTTCTTCTTCTCAATTACACAATTCTACCTTCCTTTGTTCCTCTTCCTCCTCACTCTCCGCTCTCTCTGCCGATCTCTGTCTCCCATTCTCTTTGCTTCTGAAACAAGCGATCGAATCCATGTTACCCTCTGGTTCGTCTCAAAAAAAATGAGGCATTCACCTCTTAAAAGAAATACCCTCAAAGGTTATATTCGAACCGACAATAAACCCTTTATAAATCCTTTTCTTATATTTCATTTTATTTTATTTATTTATTTCGGTTATTACACTATCTCTGTCGGAGTACCCATCATGACTGACTCATTCAATGACAGAAGTACACTTACGCTTGTCGTCCTTGATAAGTGATTAGGTTGTTTTTTAGACTATCATGAAATGTACCCCTGTCATATTGCCACGGTTGGACCAAAAGAATGTGACACATATCCATGGACACGACATCACAGCAAACCAGATACTACAGCTTGTCACCCATAGAAAAATCCAATAAGCATCTTCTATAAAATGTGATCTTATTTCCCTTCTTTAATCATGACAGAATAAGGTTGTGAATAACTCTGAATAATGAGGTTCAATTTATCCACCATTTGTGTAGATGCCACAGTTTCACAACTCTCCATCCATAATAAAGTTGCATATTTTTTCCTGCACGTACAACAAGTACGAAAACGATTATAGCAGTCACTGTTGCTCTCTCATGGGCTCAATTTGAAGGACCCGTTGGATTACTAACATCTCTCCCTCATTTGCGGGTAGTTGGGACTCCTCTTCATTCTCCTTCTCTAGGCCTTCATCCTTTGTCTTCTCCATTGCACTTTGCTCAGTAAAAGATGTATTAACAATCAGATACAACATGCCCAAAAATATGACATTTGAAACATTTTCTCAATCAGACGGATTTAGAAATATTGGTGCACTCCACCTTTTCTAAACTCTAAACAAGTTTCTCCTCTAGTGGGATTGGCTTGGTTGCTCTACTAGGTTTAACCTTGTTGCCTGATCTGAAGGTGAAACTTTGTTTGAAGAGTAGTGTGGATTTGATATTGTTGTGTTGTTTCTCCACATTCATCGTTCGGGTTTGGACATCTCGTAGCGTCCAATAGGGTTGTAACTGTATCACGTTGCTAATGAAATGTCTCAATCCCCCCAAATATCAAGCTATAATGTTATCCTCAAGCTATATTAGCTCACTTTTAAATATAACATGCTCGAACTCAAGTGTGTACTCTTCTACTGAGATATGTTTTTTGTTGAAAGTGATAAAGTCTCAAGAACATGTCATACATATAACGTGTTAATAGGTGCTTGGATTGCATCCTCATCTGGAGTCATATAGTGAATTTATTTTTCACCTAACAAACATTAGTGCTTCAAAATTTACCACCACAGGGATGCACAATTTTTTAACCTAATGGCAAGCGCTTGGCTTTACCATTATGTCAGGTGGAACGTCCTTATGCTCAAAGACATGTTCCAATATTTGGAGCCACTCAAAGAATTCATTTGGATCCATGCAACCATCAAAATCCAGTAAGTCAATATTTACACCAAAATCCTAACTTCTCTAATATTCTATGTCAATTCATCGAGGAATTGGTACTTCATCACAAAAAATTGTCTGGTAGAAGAGATTCAATTTCTCCTCTCAAATTGGTGAATCACTGTTTAGCTATAAGTGAATCTTCAAATTATCTCCTCTCAAAGACAGTAAGTGTTTATTATAGCTGAAGGATTTCTCGTAGTATATCCTCCGGTAAGCTCCCGAATATCTCTTTACATATTTCTCCTAAGCGAAATTAAGTTTTTTTCACCCGATCAAAATTTTGATAAATGTAGGGTTATAGATAAGAGGTTGATCAAAGTCTAGGATTTTCGTGATTGGTGTCGAGCTAAAATTTTGGTAAAATTAGGAAGGTTAGGTTTTGAAAATTTAAAACTAGGGCTAGGAATTATGGTAGGAATAATTTGGGTACTTTGGGGATGTATTTTTTAGGAATATTGGATTTGGGCGAGAAAGACAAATTCTTACAAATTTAGTATTTCTCGGGCTCTGATATCAAATGGTACCGTTCTATGGCTCCTATAAGATGGGAACAAACAAAAGAAAGGGATATGTGTGTTGTAGGATGGGAAAGAAAAGTGGGCGAAGGGATGGTGGCTGAAGAACGACGTGAACAGCGGCAGAGCACCAAGCCGGAGGAGGAAAAAAGTAGGTTATTTTGCTGAAAATAGTAGTTTTCTGCTGCCAAAAGGTAGTAGACAGCAAGTTCGACGGCGAAAGAGGCCTTCGAACATCCGGGAGAGATCATCGCTTTAATCCTATCAGGTTACAGATACACTAACTGAAAGAAATCCAAAGATACAACATTCTTGATAGAGAAAAACAGGAGAAACCATCTCCAACTAATATAAAAAAGCCAAAAATTCTATCACACGGCAAAACACCGCAATAATGAGCAATTCAACTTGTTTATTCCGAAAATAGTCTTCTAATAAGAAATAATCCAAATAGGAATAAAAAATAGAAAATAAAAGAATAAGAAAAATATCAAAAAAGAAAGAAATATGCTAAAAATAGAAAAATTCGGGTGGATCTGTCAGTCGCACTGCAGTCCTAGTCGCAGCTTCCGGCGATCACGTGTTCGGCGCTTCACAGAATCGCGGAATCCGTGGACTAGACCCTCCACGTCAGTTAGTCCTAAAGACTTTTAGTTCAAATGTGTTATTTTGCAGTGCAATGGACTCATAGAATTATAAGGTTTAGCTGGATGGACATGTTAATTAAGATCATAAGATAATAAATATAGATGTTACTTATAAACATAAAATTTTGTACCTCACAGTTATTGCGAATAAAAAAATCAAAGTTTAGAAGTTATTCTATATTTTATATGATGCCCTTGGATGGTTATGCATTTTTGTTAATGCAATATTAAATTGCATGTAATGTATGTATGAATTTATGAATTGTCCATGTACTACTGTTTTATTGTCATGCATTTTTAAAAAATGGTAGATTGGGCATGCATCAGCAATTCAGCCTGTTTATTCCGATTGTTCGTTACCATTTTAGTTTATTCTGAGCTACCGAATCAAATCATGACAATATAATTATCATAATTAAATGAAGTCAAGGACGTAACGTCTACAAAAGCACATGTATCAAATTCGATAAGTAAGAGTTCACACTTTACGTACGCAAAACTTAGAAAGAGACGTAAATATAAAGCATTGCATAATAAGTAAGAATTCCATAAATTCTACTTTGAAATAATAAAGATAAAGAAGTGTCAAAAAGAGAATGAAAACCTATTTTTTACTTTATGAAACAGATTCTTTTAAACTGCACAAATATGGAAATTTCATTGACATACCTCCAAAGAGATTGTAGCACCAGACGTAGCACCAATATCATAGCCATACAGCAGTCCTCCAAGAGCTGGGAAAAAAAATCTAAATCTTACATAGTTAATAAAGTATAAAAGAGAGAAGAAAAGAAGAAAATCAATTTTCCATATTAAATGCAGCTTATGCGTTCGGCATACACCCAAATGTAGCAAACCGTAGAATTGCATTGTCTAATGCTGAGAAATATTAATGACTAACGTTTAAGCATGGAAGAGAAAGAGGCACTTGGCTTTGAATAGAAGAAGAAATAAAGAGCGCTTTCAACAAAAGATATGTTGATCTACAGAATTAATGAAAATTTATTTCATTGATATAAGATGAGGTATAAATAACCCTTACATGAAACCTAGAATAGGAAAAATAATAAAAAAGAAATAATATGAAATGAATGATATATCAGCTAATAACTCTAATTAATTAATTCACATTAATTATTTGGAGATAAAAGAAATAATATAAAATAGGAAAGTCTGAAATAGAAAGGAAATAACTCCTAATCCAATAAAATAAATATAAAATAGGAAACGAAATAATTATTCCTCGTAACTTCTCAAAGGAATAAATTATTTTCTAATATAACTTCTAACACTCCCTCTCAAGTTGAAACATAGTTGAAAATCATATTAACTTGAATTTGAAAACATTAAACACTGGGCAAGAAAAATCTCGTGAAGTAGAACTTGAAGTCTTCATCTCATACTTCGGTTGGCATTGACTGCGGTTCCTGCATTGTCTGTAAGTAGGCGGAAAACTCCTACAGGTAATACTGGGAGTTTGCAGAGAAGTAGACAACTGCAGTTGTCTTTGACTGCAGTTCTTGCAGTATCTGTAAGTAGGCAGAAAGCTAATACATATAATGTTACAGCGAAGTAGACAATTGTGGTTGTTTTCTACTGTAGTTTCTGCAGTGTCTGTAGATAGGCAAAAGACTCCTACAGATAATGTTGCAGGGGAGTTTGCAGGAAAGTAGACACTCTGCAGAAAAAACTGACTTCTAGTTAATTGTGGTTTTCGTTTGTTGTAGTTCATGCAGTGTCTGAAAGTAGACAGAAGACTCCTACAAGTAATATTGTAAGGGAGTTTGCAGAGAAGTGAACAACATGCATAAAAGCTGCAAGATATGACCTATAGAAAAAGAAAAATGTCTGGAGGTAGGTCTTGCTGCAAAAAAAGCTCTGAATGGGGGGTCTGTTGCATGAAAAATTCTGGAGGACGGCACAATGCAGAAGAAAGTTCTGGATGAGGGTCTGGTCTAGGAAAAGGCTCCGGAGAAGGACCTGTTGTAAGAAGAATTCCGGTGGAGAGGTTGTTGCAAGAAAAGCTCTAGAGGGCTTGATACAGAAAAAAACTCCGGAGGAATTCATCCCCAAACAATATGTTCTCTTCACAAGCATCTTTGCCTCAGTTTTGTATGGTTCCTCCAAGACATTTGACACCCAAGATAAATCTAATGGCTCGCCAATACTACAACCTCCCACCACTTCATTATGTGAATCTTCGTTATGTCGGATAGCAACCAGTGTTGCCCCACTTAAGAACCAATCCACCTGGCATCTCAAGAAGCGGAGCATACCACAGCATCATGCTGAGTGTTGGGACCAATGTCCATTGTGAAAAACCTGAAGCCGATATAGACCTCACTCTTAGATCCTATAGCTGACATCTATCCATGGTTAACACACCTTGGCCATATGCATCAATGAGATCCAAGAACTCTGATGTCTCTTGATCACTGATGATGGATTGGAGTAGGTAATGTCATGCATAGGCAGCAACGAGGGAACTGATTGTCCCTACAACTCTAAGCTTCAGTCCCCCGTTCATATAGAAAGATTTAGGAATGTTATTGTTGCCTTTACTGGCACAAAGGTCATGAATGGGGTTAAGATGTACAGATTTGGAGGAAAAGGCGGTGCGGCACAAAGGATGACATAATTTTCAAGGGTGGAGCCAAAAACAATCATTCTTCCATTTGAGAACACCTTCATGAACCCCAAGTTCGCCGGCTGGAAGCTCAATCTAAGCCACCGAATCTCCTTGAAATTCTTCAGCACCTCAAAGGGGGAATGGTGTGATACTTCAGATGCGGAAGAGGACGAAGCTGAATTGGAGGATGAAACGCGCTTGGAGGAGGGAACAGAGAGAATTTGACCTAGGGCATAAAAGGGTCGTGCAAACCTGTTGAAAGTGAAACTTACGAGAAGAGAACAAACGCTTTGGTATCTATCACCAAAGACAGCAGCGGAAACATAGGAGGAGAGAGAATGATCATTTGATAAAATGAAGATGACACGAACGACAACATTGTTGATGGGGGGAACGGAGCGTGGAAGCGGCGGAAGACAACGCAGCACCATCAAAGTGCCTTCACGTTGTTGGTCTGGTTGAATATGACAATCAAAATCGAGTTTGGCTGATTAAAGTTGTCGATTTCGTACTCTGACGACGATGATGCAAAGATAAGCGATGGAAACACCACCTGCGAGATTCAAGTAGATTTGTAGTCGTCGATGACATATTTTAGCTGAAATGAAAGAGAAAATAAGATGGAAACCCTAGAAAGACGTGCTTGTCGGAGCCCAAGGGGATTCGGAGGGTAGAGCCTGCAACATAAGGGAAAAATCTAATGTTGAGCTGATTCAAGATAAAAAAAACAAAAAACGAGGGAAGCATGATGAAGTTTGGAGCCGCCGTGAATTTTTCCGGTGAGATGGTGTCCGAGAACCGAGAGTGATTGTGAACATATCGCAGGGAGAGAAAACGTCCCTCCCCTTCCTGTCGGGAGATTGGCAGGAAGAGAGTCCAATGGCTCACGAGGGAGGACCGACAGCTAGGATAAAGAATTTGGCTCTGATAACATATTGAAATTCTGAATAATGCAGAATAAAGTGAACTTATTCATTGATATGAGAGGAAGTATAAATAACCATTACATGAATCCTAAAATATGAAAGATAATAAAAAAAAACATATATGAAATGAAAGATATATCACCTAATATCTTTAATTAATCAATTCATATTAATTATTTAGAGATAAAGAAATAACATAAAATAAAAAAAAATTAACTCTTAATCCAAGAAAATGAATATAAAATATGAAAGAAAATAATTCTTAATGTAGGTAAATAATTTATTCCTCATAACTTCTCACATGAATAATTATTTCCTAATATAACTTCAAACATGATAAAAAAAAGACAAAAGCATACGAACATAAAAAAAATAAAAAAGCAAAAAAAAAATATGCGGAAAAGAAAAAGCAACATAAATTCACTGACAAGCTATTACAAACAGAATCCAGCTGGAGAGATAAACACTCAAACAATATTCAAAAAAATAATTTCTATCGTCGGGCAAAAAGAAATGAAAATAACTTTCAAATTATTGGACACCGCACAGCAGATTGTTAAGCAACTGTTTGATGAATCAATGTAAGTTGATTTATAGCAGAATATAATGATGATGCTTGCCTTACATTTTATTGGTCGCAAACAAATCAAAATTACATGCAATTAAATGTTGTGAAACCGCCTAAATTATCATTCTTGAAAAGCAAGAAATTGCCTATAAATCTCAATAGTTTCTAAGATATAATGCCAAGAAAAAAAAATACAAACAATGATAACAGTATCCAATTAGTTGAACATGAAAATTTCTATTTATAAAGGAGAATCTCTACTTAAGTCTACAAATATAAACTAAACCTGCAACAATGGTGGGAAAATACACCTTAAATAATAGAAGGATGAAATCCAAGAAAAACATAAATTTTGAGCCATAAAAGAAATTCTAATCTACCACCGCCAATCATGAAAAAATCTACAAGATAAAAAAAAAATGAATGAAATTGACATACAAACAATCAATAAGATTAATAAGGCATGCTCTAAAATTTTATTAATTGTTTTAAATGAAAAAAATTTAAAAAGATTTTAATTTGATTTATTAGTTTGGTTCAAGTTCAAGTTTTTTTTTTTTTTAATGCAAAATTACAGCAGGCAATGATATAAGACCGCCTTCTGGAAGAAAACTAGATTAAGGGTCTAGTTGGGGCAGCTGCAGTTTATCCAGCTTATCCAGATATGCAGCTTATCCTGATAAGCTGTTGGTCAGCAGTTGATCCGGATAAGCAGACAAGCTGTTTGGTTTGTGCGTTTGCAAAACATTTGATTTGCAGCTGTTTTTGGATAAATTATCATTTTGCCCCTATGTGGTAGTGTTGTTTGCAACAGAACTTTCATAATTATATAGGAGTTCGGGTTTTATCATGGATTTTGATATTTGAGTGAGAATTTGAAAAGTGAGAATTTGAAAAATGGATGAAAGATGAAAGATGGTGGTTAATTTAGTCGATGCGGCGATGAATAAAGTATAAAACATCAAGAATGACGAGATGATGATAAAGATGAACATGATAATTTGGTTGATGCGAAGGAATATTACTACAGTGTAGAGCCTCTCCCTCCTACTAAGAATCAAACATATAACAGTGCTCTGGTCAATCCATGATTAATCAAGTACCACTCCAAATTTATATTATTAATATATATACTTATGCATATAAAACCAGCAAAAAATAGACAAAGAAAGTGAAAAATAGAACTTCTAAAATTTCAGTCATGGATCCTGAAATTAAAAAAAAAAACCTGAAGCTCGGCTAAAAACTTCAAACTTCGCCCAAATTTGCACAAAGATAAGCCCTGCTTGACCTATACCTTGCACTAGGAGCTTAAGGAGCTCCTTTGAGCTTCTCTCGAGCGCAGAAAGTGACGCCCGAATGGAGAGGAGTTGCTCGGCTGCTCGCCTTCTCCATTTCTTCCTCATACGCGGCCCGAGACAGTCGACAGAGCTGCTCGTCTTGTCCTCCTCCTCCTTCTTCGATCGTTGCCTCGTTGCTTCTCCTTCTCCCTAAGAATATCGGATGAATCCAGCGTCGGCGTCACCGACACTGTTTCCTCTCGTGTCTACGTGCGAAGGAAGGCTCGACTGAGGTCTTCTTCTCCTCTCCTCTGCGAAACTTCTCTTGGACGGGAACGAGGGCAACCACGTCAAATAATTTCGCAAAGCGTGGGCCACGGGTTGAACCCCGCGGCCCTCGTTTAACGTAAAATAAAAACGTCATTTTCCCCCACAAGCAGTCTGAACGCGAGAACCAAAAGGTAAGACGGCATTTTCAAAACATCACCGCAGCTGATAAGCTGCCCAAAACGCACCCTAAGTGGCTCCATTGTGTTAAGAGGGTCCAAAATCACATTGCTTTATCAGTAAATATTGTTCAAATGTTTTCCCTGGCAATTAGTTAGTTCCTTGAAGGATGCAAAGTTCTGAAATTTTAAGTTGTAAAAGGTTTTCAAGGGGTTGAAAAAATTTTTTGCCAGTGCAACCTGATTCATTACTCAGTAGGCAGAAATTGCATGTCATGAACTGAACGAAAGTCAATATGAGGTAAAGTTGAAGCTAAAAAAAGATATTTCTGTTCCGAAATCTACATTTATTAAATACATGCAGGCTTCAAATAACTACGATAGAAACCAAAATGCTATTCCCACTGGAAAGAAAATTTAACTTATTCCAACTAGGAGCAAACGTGAAATTTGATTGCAGCAGATATTACTGTGGTTTAACCGTCGGAAAAGTTCTCAAATTTAATGATAATCATTAGTGGTGGATGAAATATAGCATGATGCCTGCATTCTTGGCAGATTTTTTGCAAGAGTAGTTAAAGGAAACGTATCAGAAAGGTTAAAAAAGACAATCGAAGCAGTCAACCTTTCATCTATATTACGGATGATGTTGAGTTGATGTACCCCATTAAAGATGTACTTTGTTTGGTTGTTCAGCATAGCGATGTATTTATTTTTATGGATGGTTTCCACCCAACTTAGATAAGGAATAAATGGATACAACTATTAATCCGTCTGACTTTTATATGAAAAAACTAAAAATACATTAAAAAAAAAATTTCTTCTGGAGTGTCAAAAAGCAAATTTAGATTATTTTTAGGATGACTTCAGAATTTATTTCATTTTTTAATTTAATGATTTTGATTATTTTTATTTTTAATTATATGATAAGAGTACAATTACATAAACTTTAATTCAACTTGATATAAATAGACTTTTTTTTTTTATTTATTCTTTGGAATGCTAAGTGTCAATATGCAAATCAGATGTTATAAAGTTCAATCATAGGACTTTAGCAACAATTTTTAAACTTTTAACTAAGTTCATCAACACAAACATTTGATTCTTTATAGCTTAGGATTAAACAAATTTCCTTTAAAAAAACGTCCTATTCAATATGAGCTAGTTACGCTCTTCTGATGCAGTTGCATTTACTCTATATCATTTGGTATCAAAGCCAAACGCAGCTATGCATCCGTGTTGCAGCTTCCATCACACATCCAACTCATGAGCTTGACCTCTGAAAGCACTTTTACCACCATATTGTTGTGTCTGAGTGTTCTAATCTACTACTATCACCATGAATTTTTCCTTTGCCACCTTTATCCAAGAAAAATTCCTCCTTATGACGCACAATTCCTGTTCAAGTGTAACAACCCCAATTTACCCTAGTTGCATCTCTCTTTCTCACCACCAGCCACAAATATTTATTGCCTCTTTCGTTATCTGCCTAAAAGCTCTTCCCCGTCTTCATGTATGAGAGTGCATAAAGATCCCTTATGCTTCAATAGTAACAAATACCTAATTGATATTCCTCTAAATCACATCCAACCCAAAAAAACGACCCAATCACCCCTCTCTTATGCACCCATTATTCCATCCAATGCATCCTCCAACATTAAAAGCCAAGGCTACGTAATCCTGATTCTAATTTGCAACAATTTGGAATAAAAAATATAATCCTCATTTTTATCAGACATGATTCTATAATCCCTCATGCCTTAATTTTTTTAATCTAAGGGCATAGCCACTTGAATAATTCATGAATTAACAAGAAATTACTTCATGAAATCTTCAATTATCAAAAATATCATTGCAAATCACTCTAAATTGTCTCATGATGGCATATGTTACCATACATCCTTTTATTATCAATATCATAATGAGTCGTGATTACAATGGGTTAAATTACAATCACGATCATCCTTCTTGCTAAAGCCAATATGATTAATATTCCAGAAATATCAATGGTTATTTTTTAGATTTTTATCGATCTTTGTATAATGATCTTGTGTGAAAGTATGAATATATTCATAACAGAACCTATGAAGATCGTACAAATGGTCTTCCAAAACTCATCAACTTTTATATGCTGCAACATATTACCAGCCACCTTGTCATCCTTATTATGAAAATATAATGAACAGTATATATTGGCCCAATAAAGTTAAAACGGTAAAATTCACATCTTTGTCCAACCACTCTAATCACTCAATGCCAGCCCAACTCTAACAAACCCACAACCTTCCTATCTCTATGTCCAAAACTGTCAATGATTAAGGGCTTATTTGGAGCAGTTGTAGCTGTTTGAATAAGAGATTGAGAAACTGCTGAAGAATAAGTTGTTGTCTAAAAAACTGCGATGGCTATGAAAAAAATAAATTTTGAAAAAGTCATACTGCAGTTTTCTAGCAGCAACCGCAAATAACCAGGTTTCGCGGGAAAATACACCTTTCAGCTGCTGATTTTTTTAGAACGTGGTCAAAATGCAGCTTTGTCAAATAAAAAAACTGTGGTGCAGCACCACATTGTCACCGCACCGCCGCCCCAAATGCACCTTAAACCTACGAATCATTGCAGGCATGATAAAATCATATGTAAACTTATCCTCATATTAAATCATTTGTCCTATACCAGCTATTTGAGGATGGGTTTACGAATCCTTATTTTTCATTCATTTTTTTGTAACGCGCTGCATATTAAAACAATACTTCACAAATGCTTTTTGCAGCTTCTATCTTTTCTGATACCAATTGTTTGAGGTTGGATGCATAATCCTTACTTTTCATTCATTTGTTATTAAGTGTTGCGTTAGGCATTAAAACTATTCTTCACAGATGCTTTTTTGCAACTTCTATCCAGCACCACGTGAAAAATGTTGCAGCTTCGACAGCAAATATTAAGCCTTTATCAAAACTAATAAAATATAAAGTATTGTACCGGTTAAGTGGTGCTTATACTCACGGAAGAATCGCTGCCCTGAGTGAGTAACTCTGCTTTGAGCTATCCCCATCGATCAGATGCTCCCTTGTGTTATCATTGTCAATCTTTGTGGGCTGACCAATCAAAACACAGCAGTCGTAACAAATTTTATTAGCCAGACTCGTACCAAAACATCCTTCGAGAAAAAAATAAGAGCTCAAAACTATTCCGAGAAAGAGCGATAGAGAGAGAATGGCTCACATCTTGCTTGAAAATCCTAGATAACAGCGAGATCTTAGGCTGCTCCGGATCGGATATCCTCGATGCCATCTTATGGCAATGGATAGAACCCCTAGGTTTATACAGATGATCCAAACCTTGACAAGGGAAGGAAGATAGATGAGAACTCGGACTGGTTGATGATCCAGTTGGTTTTTATTCCCTAGTTCGCTCAAACCTGCGATTAGAGGCCAGGCAGACGGCACCGTGGTTCTGTGTGCCCCATAAGCTTCAAATTTGCGCTTTTTTAAGAAAATACTCTAAACTATTTCAAGATGCATAAGTATCATAAAGCTATTTACGACAATTTTTTTCTTATGCACGTAATATATTGAAATAAATATATTTTTTAGAATATTCTGAAGTAAATAACATAAAAATATCATACTATTTAAAAAAAAATTAATAGTTCAATCCAAAATGTTATAATACTTAAAAAAAATATTAGTTATTTGAAACAAATTAATATAATAATGAAGATAATAACGGCGATCAGCAAGTCTATGATGATGTTTGTCTTAAAATTCTGATAATTGGGTCTTCGGGACAATCTCTTCTCTATCTCTGCATCTCTCATCGATTAATCACGGTATGAAGATACCTCGTCAGTGTCTTCAACCAAATTGAAGTTGCACAATTTGCAATAATCTTGTTTCTAGGACAATATTAAATCATCTCCCGTACTTGACTTTTCTCTTGGACTAGTACTAAGCACACATATTGTCACAATAACAGAGTGAAACTTTCGAGATACTTGATGATCTTGAACTCATATTTCATGTTATTATAATATGTTATTACTCTAGTTAAAAAAAAATTAAGTTAATATAATATTCGAGAAACTATAAAAAAATATAAGCTGTCTTAAAATTAAGAATTAAAATTTATAGATGAACAAAAATAAACGCACAACACAAGTTATTATATATTTTTTAAAAAAATACATTCAGAGATAAACGCTGAGGTGAAATATGAATCATTAACTACAAATAACTAGGAAATGTTATATAAGTAACGTTGTTACATTCACCAAAGCACCAGTAATCTTCTCTCTCAAATATAACATCTCCTTGACGTCTATTCCCTTAGAAGTGTTATACTCGTTTGTTCTACATTCCACTTATTGCACTTAAGGTCCGACTTGATGTTGGTTAGCTTCCTCAATAATGTCGGTTGGATCATTATCGAAGACCCTAAAATCAATTTCATTTTGGGATGGATATCTCTTTATATAAAATTATGAACCGCAGTTGTTGCAACAATTATCTTCACATAAAAAATATATATATATATGTAAGCATGTCTCGGAGTAAGACCAACTTCCTCTTTCATACATCAAATGTTCGCTCAATGACTGCGTAATGATGAGTGTCTTTTGTTGAATAGCTTATTTCTCCCTCCAATCACTTGGTTGTTGTACTCAAAGTCAGAGAGGTGATATCTCTTGTCGATAAATGACTTAAAAAAACTTAGCTGCAATTGATTTCCTAAATTGACGGGAACATATTTTCCTAAATAATGATAACATTAATAAATTAGTTCAAATGAAAATATAACTGTGATGGATTGCTAAAATGCACCAACTCTGCAGAGGCATCGAGAAATTATTTTCGGGTTATTGGGTTGCAAATTTAAATATTGTGTTATCGCGTGCACTCTATTCCCAACCAGACATAATAAAAGTAAAACACATATTGAAATCACGTATATACACATAATGATTATTGTTTACTTATTGTCCGCACTGCATACTTCATTCCCCTTTTCGTTTATGGTTTAATAAATAACAGTTATTTATTAAGTTTGTTTGTCAAACTCATTATTTGATTTATTTATTTTTCATAACATGTTATATCCAATGATCCGAGATTGTTTCCACCAAAGCAGACTTTTCATTTATAGTTTTCAAGTTTTGGTATTTTTCCGTAGTATTTGTTTTAACTATTATATTTATTTTTTTATTGTTATGTCTGATTAGTAGTTATGTGTTATCATTTATGTTCTGATTTAGCTAGTTATATTTCAATATTAATATATTTTTTTCTCGTTTGATTTGTATGGAATTATTCATTTGAGAATGCAATACATGTTTATTTCATTTCATCATGACATGTGTTGTCGTGGCGTATCACATTTTGAACCGAGGATTTAAAAGTCAATATGTAAATTTGCCCAAAAAAATACGATGAAATAGAGATTCGAAGCTCAGATTAATTCGCCATAAAAATGCACCCAAAATTTTTTTTAAAAACGAAATTATCCTAAACAAGACCTCTTGACGTTCAACCCATTCGTTGTAGTGACTTCCCAAGAGGCTGTCTAATAGCATAATTTTAATAGAATTTAGTTAAGAAATTATCATAGATCCAACCAAATACTAAAAAAAAAACTCTTTCAAAGTGATTTTTTTTCTTATTCTGTCCTTTTTTTTTCTAGTCAATTACATTTGTTATGTAAATTTAAATTTTTTAAATTTAACTATTAGAAGAATTTAAATATAAATTTGAATTTGTTGGATTTAGGAAACCCTATTTAACGGAAATATGGGTTGTAGCCAAATAACACTCTATTCGAGGAAAAAAAATTATTTCATAGGTGTAATGTATGGAAGTCTGTATGCGATAGCCAATTAGACGGGATCCAGGCCCGATCTTCCGTAATATAATAGAGTTTTTAATATATTTTAGAATAGTTGACATTTAATTTTTCCTACTACTCTAGCAGTCCAATTCATGGGCGATTCGCCTCCATCTTTTCTATCCATTCTAATTTGATTATGAGCGATACCAGTTTGGTCGAGTGCCGCAACAAAGTAGTAAAACCATTGTTTCTCTTACACATAAGCACAATTCGTGGCTCCTACAGTGCTTTGATTGGAATGGTATAAGATTAGCTTGTTTTAGCGCAAAGCAGCCAGCGATATTCCCGAAGGCTTCATTTTTTCCAGCACCCTTCCGGTCAGCAGTGAGCGGATAAAGCCAACGAGCTGGTAAGGGCAGAGAATCCACTTTAAGATTGTTATAGATAGCCCTTTTATGTCATTTGGAACATAGTTTGGATGAATCGGCTCTACTAGTTGCCCTTAATTTGGTTTCTATTGGGGAATATTTATGTGGCGATGCTCTTTGTAATATAGATATTCATGTTGCGTGTTTCAACTTTTGTCTCTTTTACTCGGCTCTTTTTTCGCTTTTGCCCTGCCAATACTTTCCCTCTATGTCTATAGCCCGTGGCATGATCTGTGTCGTCTTCCTAGCCTTTTAGCAGGCATTCAAACCCATCAGCTGCATTTTGCTTTCTTTCTCATTACATTGCTTGCGTAAGTTCGTTAGGATTCTTATGTAATGGGATGATTGGGAATGTAATAAAATCTCTTAGTCATGAATTTTAAGCAAAAGACTCTTTTATTTGAATGTTAGTTATGATTTCTTGTTAAGATATATATGAAGCGTTTGATATAATAGTATCTAAATTTCAACTCTTGAAGTAATAGAAATTGGCATACAAGTAAATTGATTACGTTTTGACATTTTTTATTTGGTGATAAATCTCCAGAGAAGCAATTAATAGTGTTATGAACTCCATTTTGGATTACATGATTACAAATTAGTTGATTTATATGATGTTACTGAAGAGAATAAGTTTAAGGAATATGTTGATTCCTAATTTGTCTTTTGCGAACACGTCTCGAGAGTTAGAGTCAGGAGGAGGAAAGAGAGAGATAGAGTAATTAGGCAAATTCTCGTGGTGAAAAAGGGAAAAATATATTTTCATTGTCTTTTTTACTCCTATTTATAGAAACATATTTATGCAATTACAAAAAAAAGCGAACTACAATGGAAACCGCTATTAATGCGATTAATTGTGTTGATTTTATACTAAATCTATATTGCCATTTGAATTTGAATATGACGGCAACCAGCCAGTCGACTCGTTTGGATTCGATCGATTGAGATGACAAATCGAATGACAATCGTGCATGCCGAAGCAAAAGTCGGTGGGTCGACTGGTTGCGATTGGACACCCTTATATGGAGTTTGGGCAGTTAGAATTATAGGTGTGGTCCGTCGACTGAGTATTTCAAATCGCGCCCCCTTTGATCTAACACCCTGATTACTCGACCATTATTCTGGGCCACTCGACTGTTTTGAGATTCTTGTCGACAGTTCTACTGTATACATATTAGTTTCCTGAGTTTTTCCGCTCCTAGACAGTGATAGCTATGATAAGGACAAATAAATAATTTAATAACCAGTGATACAAAAATTAAGAAACATAATTCGATAATTAATCTTTTCTCAGATTTTGTGCCCAACGTGCTCTATAAATTGAGTCATAGGCTTGACATGACATCCGTCGCCATCATTAAAGTTGCATCATGGCTGATGGTTCAAGCCGGATCACCATGAACCTCAGAATTCTTGCCAAGGCAAGCTATGGGCCCTCAGTCTCTGCAAAGAAGGATAACGTTAAGAAAAGGAAACGGTCGAATCCCGAACCTTCATTGGTCGATCAAGTTAATTCATCGGAGGATCTCGAGGAGCGAGTGTCGAAAGTCCCTCGTTAAGAGGCCGCGACGCCTGAGTCAGGCATGGGTGTAAGTGTCGAGGCCCAACAGACCCTGCTCGCTAAAGCCGTTGAGGCGATCGGGAAGGAGTTGGCGGGAGGAGCGATCATCGTCTCTCCTTAGCCACTACTAAAGGATGGTGGAGGTACTCCGACATGAGAGGCGGAGAAGTCCTTTAAGACCCTTCTCTTCTATAGATAGATTTATATTCCTTGGTTGTTGATGATTGTCAATATTTTTTGATATTTTTCCAATGCAGATGAATCAATCGAGTCGGAGTACCGCAAGGACGGTGGGCTGATAAAGGACGTTGTGGAGTCTGCCACTGCTGCAGTGGCGTGCCTGCTGGCCGAATATGCGAGGCTTTTGCCTTGCAATCACTTCGAAAGGGCACCGGTCCCTCGACCTTTTGCCTGCCGCCGACTTTGAACGGGAGCGAACAGAGTGGCGGCCGTCTTCCTTTGGAGTCATGGAGTGGCAGAGAAGGGGTCCTAAGCCCTTGGCGGTGATGGTCGATTATTCGGAGGGAGTAGCTGTTGGTCCGATCGTAGATTTTGTACGGGAGTTATCAGCCAATCTGGTGACCATGGGCTTGAATGTATCGACCCTACATGCGAAGGTCGCCAACTTGCGCATGGGTTGGTCGAGGTGCTGCACGAGCTAGGGGAGCTTCCTGAGTGGA